CAGGAGAAGCTTTAACATGCCAGCACTTAGTTTAGCTAATGGTCATTTTGTTTCAACAGATGATGTTACATTGATTATTATCAGCAGGGGGTTTGCAGGGTACAGGGTCAGGGCACAGGGGGGCATGAGGCTGGGTAAGTGGCTGTGTTTTTCGGTTTAACATATCACCACCAGCTGCCTCCCAAATCCCACATGGAGCCCAAAGAATCCATTTTAGCCTGCTATGGTTTCATATCGACAGAAGCTTCTTGACATATGTGAGGATGACAAACTATCTGTGTGATAGCAGAAAGACGTGACTGTGTAAGTCGAGTTTCAGTGCTTTCAATATGCCTCCATGTGTATGCATGTTAACATTAAGAAAACACTGTGATCACTAGTATTGTGAACGTGCCCTTCCTGAGTATGTGTTTGTATGTCTGTCGTGTTTATTTTTGTGTGTATGTGTGTGTGTGAGTCGCTCTGGGGTCCAGGCTCATGTTTCTCCATCAGCAATGGGCACTGTTCTCAGCAAATGCAGCCTCCCCCTCCTAATTATTCTTGTCCTCTTCTTATATCATTGTCTCCACCTCCTCCTCCTCCTCCTCCACCACCTCCTCCTCCTCACCTCACCTCAGCATTTGAGACGTTCAATAAAAGCTTTTAGTTTACATCTGCACAAAAGGCTGACCTGACACCACGACCCACTGTGTGTGAGTTCTTGGTCTCAGTTTACTGTTTACCGGAACCGATGACAGCAAGCTGCTGTTTGCTGTGGTTAGCACATCCAGCTCCTCAATCTGCACGCTTGTTTGTTTTTATCGATGTGTTTGAATGTGTGGATGTAATAATATAAGTCCTAAAAAACATTAACTAAATCTTTAAACCTTCTCCTAAAACTTACCAATGAATCAGCTTCTAAAAGAAAGTATTTGCGCTATGATTAATACAACTTACCTTACTTTTCATCAGTCCTTTAGCATATAGGGTGTCCTGGGTGTCCAAAGATTGACCTCGCTTAAGTACTGACCCTTATAGTTGCTGTTGCTAAGTCAGACAAGCTTTACAAAAAGGAACACGACTGCAATGGTGGAGTTTAGCCAACTTCCAAACCATGTGACAAAATCTGGAATGTGTTTCTTCCTTCAAATACAACATATGGGAGCATAAACTAAAGTAGAAACCACACTGATGTCAAGCATCATATCAATATCAGCCAGTGGTGGGCCAAGAGGTTTAAGTGACGTTGTGGTTAATGGTTTATTTTGGGATAGGCATCAAGTAACTCGATTACATTATTCAAAGTTCATCGTTAGGGTCAAAACAAGAACACTCTTCATGCTAGTTAAATTACGAGGCCCGATGTCATGTGTGACACAAATGATGTAAAACGCAACACCTAAAAGGTTTTTACATTCAGCCTCCATGATGAGTGTTTTTTTAACCAATCCATCAATCTAAAGTGAAACATGTTCAGTCTGGTCACTTAACTCACATGATTAACACTTTATTAGTATGGTAATATAATTTAAGTCCCATGTGTGCGTATTTACCATGAAGTGGTTTATCGTTTGTGTGTGTGTGTGTGTGTGTGTGTGTGTGTTATGGCTGCTCTTCTACCGACAGCATTAAATATTTATCCTCCTGCTCGTATTTCTCTCTCTCATCTGTCTCTCCCTTCCCTCACTTCTTCAGCATCTTCCTAATCTTTCACCTTTCCTTCCTTCTTTTTCTTGTTCATCTCCCTCTTCATCTCGCCTTGAGAGGGACAGTTTAGAAGAAGCAAAGGAGGGGATCTAGGGAAATATTGATAGTGATGATCAGTGTGGAAGTTTTTGCATATTGTGAAAAAAAGGGGAAGAGCTCTCCTCTCCTCTCCTCTCTACGACATGCATCACATTCTCTATCCTTCCTCTTGTGTGTGGGTGTGTGTTTTATACAAGAATGATGTCCTGTCTTTTGTATTTGTTGATCTGGTACACATCCACACGTCCTCTGGGTGTCAGTGTTTGTAAGCAGGAGATTTATAAAGAAACTGAACCTGTGTGTGTGTGTGTGTGTGTGGTTATATGTAAACCTATCCACAGCACAGCGAAGGGAAACTTAAGGCCATGTATTGATTTGGTCCGGGCCTGTTTCAGGGTCACGTTGATGTCAGCGTTTGTGTTATTATTGCTGTTTTTGTCTGCAGCTTTTGATTCAACACAACAAGATGACATCAAACCGCATTGATCCCTATGGGAGGATGACCTGCTGCATATCAAAATAACAGCAGGAGGAAGTTGACTTTAAACACTATAGAATAGTGAACAAAGCACAACACTACTTATGATTCCAAAATACAAACGTTGCTCGACCTTTTTTTTAAACCTGCAATCTTATCACGGTTGATTTATCATGAGGCCTTAGGTGAAGGCTCCGATACACCAGGGGTTTCTGTTCTTAAGTTAAAAAAAAAAAGGGGGCTGCTACATAATTTTTGGCATAACCTGCATAAACAAAGTGACACCTGTCTGGGATGCTCTAGCTCAATGTGTTGTGCTTATCAGATAGGCTTCACTATATTAGCATTGCAAAGGCACACAGCAGCAAATCTTTTTATCCACTAAAGAAATGAGTGAAGACAGCAGTGTTGGGGCTTTTCAGGTACACCAAGAATGACCAGCTAGGGAGTTATTCAAGACAATGACGCCTCTGTCTCTGACACCTAAAGAAAAAAAAAAAGGTTTGACTAAAGTGTCAAACACATGAAAGTTAACGCAGCATCTTGTTTTCACCATCCAGCACTATACGTCACAGTAAAAGTTAAACCTAATAACTGATAGAATGTTACTTGATGACACACTGACTTGATCTGGAAATAAGTCAGAATGTTTCACTCACAATCAGCGGTGTAGCGGTGAAAGTTGAGCTTTCAGTGTAAAATGAATAGCAGTAACCCTGCATGTGACCGTTTAACATTTCTTTATCCCGTTTTGTGTGGAGTCAACGTTTGGCATTGTAGGTTAATATACCAAGTTCATTACACAGCTGTGTTTGACTTGGTTCGGTTCTGCTTTTGTTTTCCTTTCCTAGATGTTTTCCTCCTTACTCTCTGTTCCTATTTCATCAATGTAAGGGGTTGTCCCTCACTCTCTTTCATTCACTTTCTCTTTGTCTGCCTGTCTGTGTTCATGTCTGCCACCCTGTCTTTCTGTCTTTTAAACTCTCTCTCTCTGCCCGTCTGTCTGCCTCAACCTTTCAGTCACCCAGTTACCCATCTGCCTTCCTCTTAGTCTCTTTCTCTCTCTCTCCCTGCTTGTCGCTGTGTCCATCAGTCTCAGTCCTGCTGCCCGTCTCTCTCTCTCTCTCTCTCTCTCTCTCTCGCTCGCTCGCTTTCTCTCTCTCTCTGTGCATCTGTCTCTCCAGGTCATTGTTGCGAGTTGCTTTATCAGGATTACCCAGCGTCAGGTTGGCCAACATCAACGCCGGTAGTGGGGAAACAAAATGTTCTTCTGAGCACAAAGCCGCTCTAATCCGCTCTCCTCATCCCCCAAAGCACAGCCTGATTACAGAGAGCAGGTCGGCAGGCTGTAAGATGGACAGTTAGGCAGACAGACTGTCAGACAAATATGAGACGGGGAAGTGTGCAGTGACTTCATTGGCTTGTTGGCTGACTGACTAATTGGCCTACTAACTGGCTAACTGACCCCTCGGCTTACCTGTTTGCATACTGGCTAATCGGCTCCGAGCCAGGTCGTAGTCCAGGTGATTGCCTCAGTGAATGCCCGAGTGACTGGCTGACTGTGGGCTGACTCAATGACTTCCTCAGTAGTTTGCAAGAAAAGGTTGCTGGCCTTTTAATCTGATGGTTAGCGTATCCTGTCATTAGACCTTATGATTCTGTCCAGGACTGAAAATATGAAAAATCACATGGTGTAAAAAGTTTTTTAAAAGTGTGACCCTCATTAAGACACAATCATATATTTTTACAAGTGAATGCACAATCTTTAGGCAAAAGACCAGAGTCTTCTTGCTGGTTGGAATTGTCCAATCAAGTGCAAGCATTGGTTGTATGGAGAAAAATATCCACGTGGAGAGCAAGTAAGGCCAAACGATTACATAGAAGTTAGTTTGTTTAATTAATCCCGCTAACAGATATCATACAGATTGTCATGCAGATAATAATCCAGTTTTAGACAACATGTCTGAACATCATCTCCATTCTCGTGTCTCACGTTGACTGTACGACTGTAATCAATGACCAGCACACAGAGGACAAAGTTTTATATTGGTTGTTAGTTTTGGGTTGTTATCTGCTGGCTGCCCCCAAAAGCCTTCAAACAAGCCTGTTGCCCTGGAAACTGAATCAAATTCAGCAGTTACTTGTGAAAATATCAAAGTAAACACGAGGGTGCCAGTGGGTATCTGTGCTAATGTACTGATTCATCTATTGTCTCATCTGTTGGCAAACTGTCTGCTGTGTGGTTGACAGTGTGTGTTCATCATCTGGATAGACTTTACAAACCAAATTGTCCTGTTAGATAAATAAAGTTGTCTGAGTAAACATGAAATCTATATTATTCTAAGGCTTGTTGAATAACAGGAAATGTTTTTGTAATTTCTAAGCAGATTATTTATGGCTTTCAGTCGGATAACATTGATTAATTATAAACAAACTAATATAAAGTACATTGAACTAAAATCAAGTAGTGCATGTGTTCAGCAACTGTTACCCTTGTGTTTTTTGGGGGCGCATTTCAGTGGGTCAAATCAGTTTGTTACAAAAATGAAACTTTTTTATATTTATTTTGAATATCTTTAAAACCAGATATTTTTTTCACATCAGACAGCAGGTTTTCTCTCTTGTGTGCATCTGTTTGGATCAGCCAAACGTCGTCCTGAACCTGCAGGTTAAACATCTTCTGTCCCTGAGATCTACTGATCAAACATGTTCTTGGTTCTGAGCGTTTACATGATTTTGCAATGCACAAAATATATGAATTCTGATGTCTTTCTTTCTCTGTTTTTTTTTATTTCAGCCTTAACTGCCTACACTTACCTCACCATCTTCGACCTTTTTAGGTGAGTTTGCTCTGCCTTAAAAAACAACTTATGTAAATGTTGTGACCCTCATTGTTTGGATTATTAAAACATTATCTATTTTTTATTTTTATTGAATCTTTCATCATTTATTAAAAATATAATGGGATAACTTAACTTTAAATTGGAAATGTAATCAATAAAGAAACACTATTAAACATTCAGCTGTGGATGAACTGTGGATGACCACTGTGTTTTTCTTGTCTTCCATCCCTTCTTCAATAACTTATCACTCCTCCCCTGTTATCCTTCCTCTTTCCTTCCCTCCTCCCCTCTCTTAGTCTGATCACCTGTCTCATCAGTTCCTGGGTGACCATGAAGAAACCCAGTCAGGTCTACTCCTTCGGGTGAGTTCACCATGAACATCTGCACATTACACCCACTCTCTGAGAATAAACTTCATGTCATCCAAGCAATACCACACAGACCCTTTGATGGCCCTGAAGGCAAATGTATTACTTGTAAAAGTATCATGTAATACTTTAATATGACATAAGTGTGAATTCAGTGTCTGTTAAAATAAAAGTGCAGCAGTACAGGGTTAAAAATAGAGTCAGTAGCTTTTTCCTAAAATATAAAATAGAGAAATCAAAAGCAATGCTGCTCAATCATCACGTATGGGCCTCCATACACATGTGGTGGTGTCTTCAGAGACCCTCTACTCTGCCTGGATTTTCATGTTTTTCGGGAGTGGACACAATTCAGTGATTGGACTGGATTTAAACCGGCGAGTATAGCGGATGCTCAGTTGGCCGGTTTTCTGTTGGACACACAGGTGCCAAACATCGGGGGGTTAGCATATTCTAGCATGTGGTAGCTTGCAGTGTAGCTACAAGCAGTAAACGTACACACGACGTGCTGCAGTGAGTGTGTTCTTCTGGTGATGGACAGCCCAGGAGGAGAGGCCCAGTTTGAAAGTTGTGTTCACAAGCTGCAACAAGCAATGCTACTTATTCTACCTTTTCACCAAAAAGAACTAGAAAGTAATTGTCTCCCAATAAATGTGATATTTTTTAATTTGTTTGAAGGCCATATCCCAACAACAAACAACTGGAGTTATACATTAAATGACAATGTGCTGCCAAAGCTTCTCTATGTTGATATTATCCTGATGAAAATTTACAGCGAAAAGGTAACCAGATCTTTCGTGTTGCACAATTTAAAGACAAAATAAAAGCAAGGACAGAGATAGATTCAGATTCCCGCCTGTCTTGAGCATGCCAACACCTTCAGCACAGACACAACCTATCAGCGTTGAACTCTCCCAGTGCCCTCAGATTGCACCAGGACAGTTGATCCAAACATCTTTGACCATTCAACCTGTTCCTTTCAATGAAATCACAACAGAATGTGTTTATTCTGTTTTCATTGCACTACAAACAGCCAGCTTTCAGCCTCTGTGTGAACTTCTGGACCCAGTCAAACTGTCTCTTAGAGGACACAGATGGACAGGCGCTCTGCAATTGAAACGGAAAGCAGGTGTTTGGTTTCCTTCCAAGAAACCCTGGCAGTGATCCCAGCTAACAAGTCATCAAACTGTGCACTGATCAACCTCAAGTAGTTTGATGAGGCAATAGATTAATCCAGACACAGTTCATGGAGATGCAGGTGACATGTACTGAACTGTGTGCACCACAATGTTATCATATGAATCCAGACACAACAGCAGTTTTTTTTTTTTTTTGGCATCTTTGGAAAGATACATTTGTAGTTTTTTTAAACCAATGTGTATAACCTCAAATGATCAGGAATTCAAATATCATGTAAAGAAAGGACATATCTCACCTTTTGGTCTGAATGTAGCTTTTATGTAAGGTTAACTTTGTTAATCCAGTTGCTCAGCATTTAACGCATCATTTGCACTCTCTTATTCACCATGTGCGTATTTGCAGCTGACGGGTGACCTCTAACCCTGAGGTGTGGGAGAGTGGTGATCGAGTGGAAATCTGATTTAATGCTTCACTTAGCCCTCATAAAGCCTATGTTTGTGTATACATGTGTGGAATCTATGCATGAAAGTGTGTGTTCATTCAGCCTCCTGTTGGTGCGTATGTTTTGCCAGCAGCTGAACAACACCTCAGATAGGCCGGTTTAACTAGCAGCAGCTTTTTGACTCTTTTTAAACCTTGTAGGAGCAGAGCCAGTTTGTCTGGGAAATATTCAAATCAGCTTTCCCCTCAGATTTTTTCTCGTGTTCAATGGCTCAGGTTGTTTGATTTGGTCTGGCTGGGTTGAATAAGTGAATATTGTGTGTTCTGTAGAAGTTACTAGATGTAGAACACAGAAAGAAATTAAGCATTAGGTCATAGTTGTTATGTGGGAGACTCTCCTACCTTGGACCACCCATATGCTGGAGATGCTCAAAGTAAAGCCACAAAAAACTGGTTGTTTGAGCCACTGATAGAACGAGAGTAAGATTCTAGTGTCTGATATCATTGCAGAAAGGAGCACTACAGAAATAAACTTCTTTGTGAAAGAATACGATCATTATTGTAACCAGAAACAGAAGTTTGACTGCTCATGTTTAAAGCAAGCAGACAACATTTACCAAAACAAAGTGATTGCCCTGGTCTGGTGATGAGACCGATGCAGAGGCTGTGTCTGCTTCCTAAAAAGCAAATTACTCCTGTGCAGAAAAAGTTCATGGAATCCTGTGTACAGGCATGTGTTAGGCATGTGCCAGCTAAAGCAATCTACTTTTGGTCATTTGGACCCAAATATATTAAAATGGCTCCTGATTAGTCTAAAAATAGTGAAGTTTGGTCCTTCAGCAAACCTCTGAATGTTGTATAGTTTAATCCAGAGAATCACATCTATAATTCTGAATTGGCCGTGAGATTTTATTTTCAGGCCTGATTGTCCCCCTGTAAACGTCATAATAATGTCGTTAATGATTGTGAACCAAATGTACTTGAAGATTGAAGAATACAATCCATGTCTTAAAGGTCCCATATTATGCTTTTTCTGGTTTTATATGCTCTTTAGTGTGTTTTCCAAGTGTCCTGTGCATGTTTAGGCACATTTATGTGCAAAAATTCAAAGTCCGCGGAAACTGTTAGCTGTAGCATTAGCTGCATGTAATGCTCAGTTCTAGCCCCCCTTGATAAAAATGTGTCAGTGTGACGTCATTGTCAGTGTCAGATCACTGATCTAAGTCAATTGGCTCGTTGTGGCAAACCCTGCAGCTCATGTTGAAATTTCCGAGATGTGTGCTGAGCAACTGACCAACAACGACAGAGCGGATCGTCAGACCAATCAGAGCAGACTTGGCCCACGTGGGGTCTAACATTGTGGGCTCAGCAGAGCGTAGCTGACGGACTCAGAGCGTAGAGGGAGCAAGGAGGAGCAGTACATGAAAACAGACACTTTTTTCTAACTTTAGCTATTGTGAACGTACAAAAGTAGGTACATAGATTAAATATACGAACCTCAAAAAGGGCAGAATATGGGCTCTTTAATATCTATTAGACAGATTGAGATTATATAGTGATCAACTTTTATAGAAGATAATTAGATTGGTGGAGTTATTTATCTGCTGTTATTTTGAGGAATACGAACTATTGGTGTCATTAAAGTGTTTTGAATGTTACAGGCGGCAGTTCTATAGACCACCATCACTGTACAAACCTTGTATGTATGTCAGCAGACGGCAGGACGTCTCTGTGGCGCCCATTTAGATTAACCACAGGCTGTTGGTGGTACAGAGCTCGACCTTTGACTTAGCAGCATAGAAGTGATCAGGCTAAACAGCGCGTGCTAAGTGTTTCAAAGTGTGTGTGTGTGTGTGTGTGTGTGTGTGTGTGTGTGTGTGTGTGTGTGTGTGTGTGTGTGTGTGTGTGTGTGTGTGTGTGTGTGTGTGTGTGTGTGTGTGTGTGTGTGTGTGTGTGTGTGTGTGTGTGTGTGTGTGTGTGTGTGTGTGTGTGTGTGTGTGTGTGTGTGTGTGTGTGTGTGTGTGTGTGTGTGTGTGTTGTGTGTGTGTGTGTGTGTGTGTGTGTGTGTGTGTGTGTGTGTGTGTGTGTGTGTGTGTGTGTGTGTGTGTGTCTTAAAGAGAGTAATTTGTCCAACCAATGACCTCGAGCAGACACGTAGAGGTTAATAGGTTGTCTATGTTTACTGGGGATGGAGGATTGACTCACATACACGAGAAGACACACACACATGTTATTGTAGTTTCTTTCACTCTTAGCATAGGCTTGTATCATAGGCTGGGGTGACATCAGACAATAGCATTCTTAAAGGACTACAGTAGATGTTATGTGAATGTAGCCTATAGTAGTAATGTGTATTATATATTCTAATATATCTACCACTAGTAGAAAAGTACTTTCCATATAGGTACAATATGGGAACTGCTTGTAAAAGAAAGAACAAACACTTGTACACTGAGCTCTGCATATCCAGGCCTGCATGGAGCACTTTGTTGAAAGTTGCCTCCGCATGTGATGTGGTGATGTGTCATGTATACATGTATAATGCACTTCACTTAGCATGCACAAAGGCTCTCAGTTTAGCTCTTTATAGTCTTATAGTCTTTATAGCTTCTGTAAAGACACAGTGCATCAGATCACTGACAGTCAGCATCAGCTTTAACCCCCATAAGTCCAGCAGACCGCTCACTGAGACAAAGCGGCTCATGGACAGACTGCGACGGGATCGACCCCGTGACCTTGTGATGAGGTGAGGAGGTCGGCAACAGTTACAAATGTATATTGGCGTTCTGTTGCTGGTGCCTTCTTGCTTCTTTTTCTTCTCTCAAATGATGCATGTCTATTAATACTGTGGACTGTTTTACTTCTTTCACACATGTACTGCTATAAATACTAAGGCGGTAAGAAAACACACCGGGCCTCTCTCAATAATGTTTTTTTTATGAAGTCAAGAAAAACGTTGATGATTGTACATGTTAATACGCAGGCTCATTTTCTTTTTAACAATAAAGATGACATAATGTTTGAAGTAATGCTGATATTTGTTGGTATGTCGTGTAACACTTTTGGATTGAGGCGATATATCTATATCCTTGAAGTTCGATTGATACTTGCTGAGGTTTGGAAAAAGGAGACCTAAAATTCTTGATTTTACCAAGACAGTAGGGAGATTCTGAGGCATGTTGTAGGTTGTAATAAATATTGCAAAACTTCCTTTTGTATGTGTAATTTTGAGGGGGAGGTTATGAAGGTTGATATTCCACTTTTATTATTGTGGCTGCTTTGCAAAGTTTCCATTATTATTCGTCTTCCGAACAAATATTCAACCCTCTGTTTCGACATGGTCACCACAAATTGAACAACTGATACATCACAATGTGCAGCTTAAATGGCGTGTGACGATCTAAGAGACTACCCTCATCATCATGGGTATCTCAAAAATAGCAAAAACACCACAAAAAATCCCACAAACTACAACCCATGGGAATCGACGAAATAAGCCAATTTATCTCTCAAATGTTAAAAGGAATTTTCTAGTTTCAATTATGATCTTTGCTTCCAATAAAAGTAGATTAGGAAAATATATTTTTTGTGTGGAACCAATTTATTCAAAAGGAGCAAGTCTAGACAATACTTTTTGTTTTTATTGTTATTTACGGACAACCAAGATGAATCCACCATGAAGTGAGCAAAACACTTGGTGACATTTAGCAGCAAGTAACAGTGGCAGAGTAAATGTCCTTTAACAGGCAGAAACATCGAGCAGAACCAGACTCCGGTTGAACAGCCGTCTGCTGAGACTGTGTTAGGCTTTAAACGTGGGATGCAGAAAAATAGAGACAAACAAACAGAGCAACAACAACAGCTCATAAAACCTAAGCTAAAAGGGAAAAAAATAATGGTATAAGTACCGGTATGTGTAATATCAGCAGGAACAGCAAAGTATTGATAACAGACATCATGAGAAGTTAAGGTCAGCAGCTCTAATTTTTAACTATGATGTTGATATATGGACTGATGATATCAATTAAAGCAGTTGGATTTTAGCATTACACCAGTAATAATAATAGTATGACTGATATTAATTGATGTAGGAGTCAGGCATGTCCTCAACAGCAGGCCGTCAACTCCAGCAGTCCAAAGGAAAATAGTAAAGGTAGATCAAGAACTCCCAGAAAGAGAAATGGTGCTTTTACTGTTTTCTGTAATCTGTTTCCCGATGTTGCCATGTCTTGTTTTATAAATCCAGTGCATCCACCACCTGGACTAGTCGAGTCTCTGCATCGTGGACCAGTCAATGCTGGTCTTTGAACGAAAGAGAGATTTGATGTGCCTGGAAAGGTTTCTCTCACTCTGGTTAACAATCTCTCCTGCTCTCTTTCTCTCCCTCTCTCCACTCCACAGGTTTGAAAGATTGGAGGTTCTGGCGGTGTTTGCTTCGACTGTTCTTATACAACTGGGAGCATTGTTCATCCTGAAGGAGAGGTGCGTGTTTCTACCTTACACATATACAGAAACACTCGCTCATTCTCACAAAAAGCACTTAAAATGTATAAACAAGACAAGAAGCCCTAAATGTGACTAATACTTGTGATTAAAAAAAAAATTAAAAAAAGATTTTGTCTGCAATTTGAGCCAGATTAAGATCCCATGTCTGCATCTTTGTCTTTGTTGTGCTTCTTTGTCTCCCTCATTCTGTCTCTCTTAATTAAAATATCAATTATTCTCTTAGCATGACTTAGCGTAACCACTGAATTAGAATTTCCAGAGCAATACACTGAATATTTTCAATTGTTTTTCCCTCTTATCTTTGTTCATGTTCCTCACTAATAATCTCACCAGAGTCCTTCTTCCACCCAGGGTGCATGTTTTTGTTCCTTCTCAGCTAAACTTCGCCTTTCAACAATGAAAAAAATGTTGTAATTACACCCCAGGATATTCGTGCCACTTCTCTACACTTTCAATCTGGCAACAAAGGCTGTAATTACTCTAACTTGGATAATTAACACAATCCTCACTCAGAGAAGTGTTACTGTTTGAGTACAGCTTCATACAGTATCCAGATAGTTTCCTTCATGTTCTTTGCCTTAAATTAGCATACAATATCTGAATAACATGGGTCCATTAATTAGTCTGCCAAAAGCTTTTATTTGTTAATTTTTCCTTTGTATGTCATGCTTTGTAATCGAACAAGCTTAGAAGTTAATATCAGAATGCTATTGTTTATAGTGTGCTTCACAAATGACATTTAAGTTAAAGAACAGATAAAGCACAACAGGTTTGATAAATTGCTTTTAAACTCATTAAATCCTTGAAAAAACACTGACACTTCTAAACTATATGTTTGTTTGTGTGTGTCTGCTGAAATCTGTTCACACCAATGTCTGTCATCATAGTAGTACAAAGTCATGCTTTAAAGGGGTGGTCGAGGATTTACTGTTAAAGGGGAAGGTGTGTGTGTGTGTGTGTGTGTGTGTGTGTGTGTGTGTGTGTGTGTGTGTGTGTGTGTGTGTGTGTGTGTGTGTGTGTGTGTGTGTGTGTGTGTGTGTGTGTGTGTGTGTGTGTGTGTGTGTGTGTGTGTGTGTGTGTGTGTGTGTGTGTGTGTGTGTGTGTGTGTGTGTGTGTGTGTGTGTGTGTGTGTGTGTGTGTGTGTGTGTGTGTGTGTGTGTGTGTACTTGTGAATTTTTTTAGGGCTGTGGGAATGTCGCTGCCAGGCTGTGCCATTCTTTCTTACCCATACACACGCACACACAGTTACCTCCAGGCATCCCGTGTGGGGTTGTCTTGCGGTCAGTTCTCAGGGAAGGGAGGGGTATTTCCAATATTATAACACATACACACAATCACACACAAATGCAGGTCAAGCAGCTGGCATGCTGACAATTTCATGTGCAGATATTTGTGTGCATTTGGCTGCTCAACTAAAATTTGCAGACACTTAATCCACCAAAGCAACTAAAGTTTATTTTCTTCTATTTCATAAAATAGAAATATAACAGACTTGTTTCGAGGGGTAGTTCATAATATTGTCAAACATTAGATCAACAGTGAAAAAAGTCCATCGTGATGCAGTCGGGATGATCCAGACTCAATAAACTGATAGGGCCGTAACTTCATCATTTTAATTCAAAGTGACTGAGAGATTTTAAACTCTTCAGGATTCAGACACAGCTTAGTGTTTGTTTTACATCATAAACTGTATCAATAGTAAAGAGCTTTGTTTGTATTGCATCTTTTCTATTTGTAAAATGATTGCAGTTCAAAGTCCCTATACGTATGAGTATATCTGAATACCAGTAGCAGAATCTATTGGATAAAGCTTAAATGTGGTATCTAGTATCAGAAAATATACTAGGCAAGACACTTAACTCCAAGTTTCTCCCGCTGTTTGTGCAAACTATCTGATTTTTAGGTTTCTCTGAATTAATCTCTTTCTCTTAGCGAGAAAAGAGACACACACACTCCAACCACAGACGTTGTTTATGGCTCCACAGAGGGCGATACGGGCTGTGTCTTTGTGTTTGAGTGCGTTAATGTTTTCCTGTTTCTCTCTGTTTGTTCACTCCTTGTCTCTTGTCTCTATCCCTCGCTCTCTCACTTTCACTCTCACACACACACAGAGAATAATCCCACCTGGCCACTGTTGTTGACTGTGTTTTTGTGTGTTTTGTCAGTGTGGAGCGCTTCATGGAGCAGCCCGAGGTCCACACGTAAGTATAACCACTCCATGCAAACACACGCACACTTGCACACATAAACAAATTCCCTTATTACATCCATAAATAAAACAGACACAACATGGTTCAGTCTCGCACACGCACACGCACACGCACACAGACACACACAGACACACACAGACACCATGCCAGCTGTTGTCTGAACAGAACATCCCCAAACATGTGGGTCAGAGAAACAGACGGAATGACACAGTCAGAGATTCCAAGAATCTGAGTGACTGAGTGTACATTGATAATGTCCTACTATGACAGCGTTCACACCAGCACAGTTCATTCACTCACCTGCCTCAGGTTTTCACCAGCACAGAACAAACACCCAATAATCCAACTAAATTAAAAGAGGAAGACCTGACCTGCACAAATGTTTATTAGCTAACAGTTAACAGAAATAAGTCTTTTACTCAAAAAAAAATCAGACTCGTCTCATTCATTCAAATACTAGCTCACATAATGATTATGACTTGTTCTCTCCCAAGAACTGCCACATGTCCAAAGCTCTTTATTTCCTTTCATAACTTACAAAAAAGCAGCAGATCGTCACATTTAAAGCTTCTTTCAGGGTTTTTTAGCTGATTATGAAAAATTAATCATAACTCTTCATGAGCTACAAAAACAAACAAGATTATCAGCATTAAACTTGATTATTTCTACATAGAGTACCGGTAGTTATTTTTAATGTCTGAAGTTGCTTTTGTGTGGTAGTTATTGACTAAGTGATTAACCTTCCTTCAAAACCAGCCTTTTTCTTTACATTTTCTACAGCAAAGATTCAGGATGAGTGACAAGTTTGACTGTGAAAAGAAAGCAGGATGAGATTTTTTTTCTAAATAAGCACTCGTGAAACATTTAGAGGGAAAAATCCATAAAAGAGAAGATCTCCACAGGGGTCCCCAAAATCTACACAAACCAAAAGTTCCTCACAAGAGCTTTAAGAAGCTGGAGGCAGAAAACATTTCGCATTTGGGCTGAGATTTTCCATTTGTGACATCACAGTTACCCCTCCCCCAGGTGGGCGACACACCCACAGTTAGGTGTTTGTTCTGCCTTCTGAGTCCGCCTTTCCACTGTAAACAATTGGGCATGGTGGAAGAAGGCATGAGCCACATTCCCTTCCAGAGAGGGGCGTGTAAAGACACAGCTCACTGGCATTTAAAGCTACAGACACAGAAACAGCTTGTTCTGAGCAGGGCTGAAATAGAGGGGTTTATAGGCATGATCAAATACAGGCTCAGAGTGGATTTTGAACAAGAAACTTCACAGACATCTTTTTGGGAGCTCTGAGACTTATTTAAACATGTTGAAAATGAGAACATGTGACCTTTAAGTTACCTTGTAGAATTAAAACAAAGTGGATAAACGAGGCTAATTATTCTTATGTTCAAGTCTTTCTCTGTTTTCTGTCTTTGATTGCTCTTTTTTCTTCTTTTGCCCAACAAAATCATCATTATGGGAAGTTCACAAGCTCTTCTCCCTCTTCCCCTTTCTGTCTCCCTTCTTCTCTCCATAATAAAACAGATTAGTGACGGCTTTTATAACCTTAAACACAGCAAGACTTAAACCTGTCTCCTGTGACAAGATTACCCCCCTCGTTTCTCTCCCCTCATCCCCTCTCCCTTCACTCCCCTCTTCTCTCTCGCTCCCTTCCTCTCTGAGTGGATGTGATTGGTCAGCATGTGAGACAGACGCTAACCAGAGGGACAGGTGTCTGCTGGGCGGAGAGACAGACTCGCACATTCTCTCTCTCTTTTTAATCTGTTCTTACAGGGAGGTGGGGGTGATCGGTCGGGGTCATCACGTTATTGTGGCTCACTGTCGGGCAGCCCTTCACCTCCTGCTGATTGTTTAGAACAATTTTTAGGCTCTTAAAAGGATTGTCCTGTGTGATTAGTGAGCTAGCTCTGTGTGTGTGTGTGTGTGTGTGTGTGTGTGTGTGTGTGTGTGTGTGTGTGTGTGTGTGTGTGTGTGTGTGTGTGTGTGTGTGTGTGTGTGTGTGTGTGTGTGTGTGTGTGTGTGTGTGTGTGTGTGTGTGTGTGTGTGTGTGTGTGTGTGTGTGTGTGGTTTATTTCAAAGTTGAACTTGATAAGATAAATAGAAATAAAATTAGGACTGATAAATAGGTTTTTTTTCTATTCAAACAAGATCGTTTCAACTATTGGAATTGGAAAAAAAAATAGTTTATCTATAAACCAGCAACGTCACCAGCTTCTGATTCCTTTCTACTAGCTGCTGAAGCTGAGCATGTGCAGGACTGCCTCTGCATGAGCAATGCAGACACAAAGCAAAATTCACTTCTCAATATTTCTGGAAAATGAACTTTTAAAGGTCAGCCAGTTGTTGCTTTATATTTGAACTTTTAGGCCATAAAAATACTTAGAAAGGCAAAGAACTTCTCTACAAACTCAGTACATTGACTAGACAGGTTTAGAAGGGATATTTACTTGACCTCAGAGGATGAGAGGTAAAACAGTTCTTAGAATTTGAAATTCTGTATTTAGAAATGAATGTCATCAAATCATCTGCTGCCTGTTGTTCTAAAATAAAGATTGGTATTCAGTGGAAACTGCTCGAAGTGAATGAATGAATATTTTGTAATTTGGCCATCCATTAAGAAACAAGGAGAGTCAAACACATGTGTAAATAGTCCACTTACAGATACAGAAAAAGACACTTTCCATGTTTACACCAGTACGTTTCATACGATCAAATCCAATCGATTGATGACCATAAAAGGAATAGGCTGAAGCTGAAGCCCAATAATTATTTCTGCCTATCCCATACAATCCTTAATTTCACCCAGAACTTCAGCAATACAACAAAAAGCTTTAGAAAGTATAATAGTTGGCCAAATTCTTTTGAACAATTAGCCTTTATAGTTGTGAAGTTTTCTCCTTCTATTATTTCCCATATTTCATTAAAAAACACAACAATAATGCCATAATGAAGCTCTACTGTTACATCACCTTTGTGTATTTACACTTGACCGACAACAATGTCACAGTACCATCACATCTATTTTTGCATACATGACAACATATGATAGAACAAAGTACAGTAATCCTTTTTATTTTAGTTACTTCTTCTTTATAATCTGTCTGGTTAAAGCTGGATACCTGGAGGTTTGGGATGCATTCACACATTGCACCCCAAGCATGTGAAAAACCAATATATCAGTTTCAGTATTGTTTAAGGAAAAAAAGACAGAGCTCTCTGTTTCCAGCTTCTTACTTCTTTTGTACCTTTCGGCACACTCCAAAAAGTAAAATGAAATATTTTCTATGACAGTGATAATACTATTTTGGCGTTGAGAATAGATTTGACATTGTTCCTTGGGGAAAAAAATAAAAATGTTCATGTGACATTTTACCGACTAAGCAGCTAATGTTTGTTTATATCAGTTTGAGAAATGTCTGTTTTGTAAGAAAATCCTCTACTGTAACAGTTCATTGTGTCTCTCTGCAGCGGTCGTCTGTTGGTCGGGACCTTCGTCGCTCTCTTCTTCAACCTGCTGACTCTGCTGTCTGTCAGGAACAAACCCTTTGCTTACGTCTCTGAAGGTACAGCCACCCGTTTCTTCTCCTTCTCCTCTCTGTGTTATATAGAGGGAGGCTGGATTTACAGTAGTTGTTTTAGTTTCTTTTGGGTTTTCTCCTCCGGTCAGTTGTGGTTTGGTAATCCTTTGTGTCACTGGGGAGCTCGGACAATTTGGCTTTTGTTATATTTTTCAGGGATTACTGAAGTCAAATGAAATGCTTGCTCACTGTTTAGTCTTTACATAAACCACAATAAGCAGCAGGGAGATCAGGGTTAGTCCCTTCTTCTGTAACTGCAGGAATCAGTAGGTTATAAAACCAAACACAGTTTGATCTTTAAATATGAAGAATTAAGTGTTTGAGATTATGTTCAACAGATTAGTTTTGGGTGTTAAAGAAAAGAGGAGGAGGAGTGGCCTGTGAGTGAACATTCGTCCCCACATCTGAAATTAATTTAAAGGAATGAGTCGTATGACAACACATCCATGCCACTAAGACTACTTAGATTTACTTCTGTGCTAGGGATGACACTAATGATTCAATGCATAATCCATTCAAGAATGAACTGCTCACAGTTTTTGATTCATAGTTCCTCCTACAAAAGGTTTAACAAATTTGCAAAACATGGTCATCACAGTTTCCCAGAGCTAAACAGAATGACTAAATGGATGTCCAAAACTTCATACAGCAAAAGAACAAAATAATTTGTACTTCTAAAAAAAGAAAAACTGAACATAATGATCTCACTTTCCAAAGCTGTCTCCAGTCCTCACACATACACATTTACACAAAAGAAGCACTAAAACTAATATACATATTGTATTTAAGGCCGCATGAACACATCAACATGCAGTGGCCACACACACACACACACGCACACACACACACACACGCATAGTTGCAGACAGGGAGGCCATGCCTGGCCAATGTCGACCCCAGGACATTTCAACCTGACATAACCTGAAGTTTTAACCATTTTAGTCTGAGACCCTGTCTACTGCCAAAACAGACAGACCGTTACACACACGCATATAAACATACATAAAGAAAGGTGCAGAGGTTGACCAGCTACTGACTGGAATTGGAAGATTTCCAGCCTGTACAGTGATTGGCAGGTCCGCTCAAATTAACACACACGAGCCATCCGTGTTTCAAGTGTTTTGTGCCATTCACACAGCAACGACAACACTAACGGGACAGCCACACAAGCACAAGCTCACATGTCGGCAGTGTGGACGTGAGGTGCCCGTCAGGTGAGGTGAAGAAGCTGGTGGATAAATAAAGACCGACTCCTGGCACTCGCTCCACTTGTATGAAAGTGAGAATTCCTTCACCAGTTTACTTGAAAACTTGAAAACCCAGTTTAAGAAATTGCAATAGGTACATCTGTAATACAAACACACATTAAGTCTACAGCCTCAGTCAAATGTATTTATTTAACTTATTTACTGACAGAAGCTACGACTGTACGCACAGACATGTAGGAAGATGCAGATGAAAATAAATTCAGAAACTTAAATACAATAGAGGAACTCCCCTGTTTACTTCTCTCCTCTGCTCCTCTCCCTTCACTACCACCCCTTTGCTTTTATTTTCTCATCCTTCCCTTTCCTCCTTTAAACCTCTCCTCTCCTATCCCCTCCTATCCTCTCCTCTCCTCTCCTCTCCTCCTTTAAACCTCCTCTCCTCTCCTCTCCTCTCCTCTCCTCCCCTCCTTTAAACCTCTCCTCTCCTCTCCTCTCCTCTCCTCTCCTCTCCTCTCCTCCCCTCCTTTAAACCTCTCCTCTCCTCTCTCTGAGTCACTATCAGTATGAGCAGTCTGTACTGATGAATGAGGTCAGTGTGTGTCTGTGTCGGTGTGTGCATGTGTGTGTGTGTGTCTGTGTGTGTGAGTGTGTTTGTGTTTGTGTGTGTCAGCTGTCTGCTGTTGTGTTCGGAACAGTCTCAACATCACTTAACATCTGACATTTCGGAATGGGAGGGGGATGAAACTACACACACAAACACACAGAGGCACTTTACTTTGCCAAAACACACAATATATCTCACTCGTTACACACACACACACACACACACACACACACGTGCACATATGCACATACACACACAGACTCTGACAGAGCAAGACTAAAAGTGCATTACGCAACTGTGTTCCAGACAGTGGTAATGTACTGTGCCAGAGGGCCAGGCGGGCTCAGAGACATGCATACACACACGCGCACACACACACACATTCTCAGAAACATTGTACCCTCTCCCTGTACACACGGATCATAAATAAGTCACTCTATTAAAATGTTTGTTTATACTGACTCACCTCCAAACAAAACAAACAAACCCCCCACCCCAACCTTACCCAGACACATAGAAACACACACACAGACACACACAAACATATACACACTCTCAGGTCTGAGCAGGATGGAATTTGAAGGGCCTTTGACCCGATGCTGAGCCTTCAGGCCTCACAGTGTCGTCAAACATTAAAGGTTAGACAGCATGTTAGAGAAAGAGAAGTGGGTGATCCCATTCCCCCCCTTCCCCCACACCCATCAAGTATTTTTATCCCAAATCAGGGTTTGAGAGGATGACTGCTCTCTGCTAGTCTCTGTTTAAACAGTTTAATGCTGCAGAGTGAGTGAAACAGTTATGATGTTAAACTGCAGGCATGCACATGATGCTTAAATCCATAGGACAGAGCTGAGGGAGTCAGCTGTGAAATAAAACATCTGTGTGTCTCAATGTTTCATGGAGCTGTGAACAAGAACGATGTTTTTGTTCTTGCCTCCATCTGAAAGTGTAAAGCTCTCTGCTCTGTTCCTCAGATCATGTCAGACTACAGAGTACTTGTACCCCAGAGAGGTTTGTTTCTTTTGACATAACATGTAGGCCAATAAAAAAGTGATTGTCCACATGAACAGAAGTGTAATTTTAGTCTTTAGTATAAGATGTAATCTGAAACAGAGTTGGAGCAGCTAGGTAACTTAAAGTGATTGTAAGAAAATGAATCAAACAGGACATGCAAATGCCAAAGCTTTTCCAACTTAAAACTCCTAAGTCTTATGTTTTATTTTGCGTCTTTAACCGTTTTCACATATGCACCAAAAATGCCACAGTGGTAGACTGTCCCTGTCCAACCCAGTCTCATGTCAAAATGTGTAATACCTACGTTGGTCCACAGCGCAAAATGTAATAGTTTCACAATAAGGGCTCTAAAATTGTGACATGTCTACGTTTCCTTTTGTCTATTCTTTTGTATAGGCATACCTCAGGTCACGTGACTGCCCAGTTTTCCCCTGGCGAAAAAATAAACATGGCGGACATCCCTTCTATTTTTGGCGGAAAATGCAATATTTTAAGATAGTTTGAGGCTTAAGTGTCCTTTTGATAACTTTTCTGGCAACAAATGTACATTGTATCTTCATAATCTTCGTTCGGTTTATGTTTATGATCTTTAGTTTGTTAGTTTCTACGAAGATTCTTTCAGGTCTCGCTAGAGAAACGTTGGACTGTTACGTTTTCTACTGTTGCTATGGTGGTTGCTATGGACGCTATCAACAACAAACCGGAAGGAAGTGGACGTTCGGTTCGCGGCTCTTAAAACGAGTTACATCAGGCCCTACACATCAAACTAAACTCCTATGCAATAAATAATGATTTCTGTTACATTTTTATGGATGTCTTTCATTACAACCAAATTTAATAAAACGATTGGAACAGATCGATGCATATTAGCAACATTATAAACTATAAAATGTAACAATACATAAAGACAATACTGTACAGTTTGTGTGATTATATGATTTCAAAATTTTATTCAACAAAATAATCCTGATGGATTAGATAAATACCACAAAATGCAATCAATAAAGTAAACGGCCGGCGATAAGAACTACAAACGGGCCCATGACACTGACATCAAATAATGACGTATTGATAATCGTCACTTGTGAGCGACCTCTTTATTAGATCTTTCAGGGGATATTTACTGTTGTTTTTTAAGGTTGGTTGCAAAAACACATCTTAAATCTGTGTTAACCAAAGATCCCATTCCAGGAATCTAAGCAAAAACCCATTCAAAAAGCCCAATATGCTATGGTCTGCCAGTGCTGCTGACATGCGCAATCGTGCAGTCACGCCCACTGTCGGTTTAAAGGCCGAGGGCGCGTTCACTATCGATTCAACGCCCCCCCCCCACACACACACACACACACACGCCCACACACACACCCCTCATCCTCCTCTCCGTAGACTCAAATTTTAAATCCATTTTTCATACACTTATGTTTGACCTAGAACCCCCAAATTTTCACCAGTTGTTCGTGAGATTGGGAACTGTCACCAAAACAAAAATCACAAGTCACTTAAGGCCCCACTCTCAATTTGCCAAACCGTTCACAATTGAAACACTTATCAAAACATCAAAAAAGGGTGTTAAAAAGTGTGAAAATGTTCCAAAAGACAGAGGGTCATTCTCCATTATATGCTGTATGCTTTGTGAACAAGGCTGATGTTAAAAACTCATTTTAAAGGTGCTTAATAGAGCTAATTTGACCATTTGAGGCCTAGCAGAGACATGAAACCTTTTGACCTGTTCAACCCTGTTGCTCTATGAAAGACATTAAACTGAATATTAAAACAATGACTGATGACAAATTAGATTAACTCTTCTATAAGGAAAGAAGGATAAAAAAAAGTACTAGGATGAATTAATATGGACAAGAGCATAAGAGATTTTTACTTTTAGCCATAATTCTAAACCAAGCACTTAAGGCTGTCCTCCAAGCATATAGGTCCCCAGATTTTATGATATACTTAAACCAAAACAAACAAACAAAATAAAAATAAAAAATACATTTTATGTACTGGGCTTTGAAAGCGCTCTATGAAAGTATGACTGCAAGACCCCTTGCCTATGAAATGAGAATATTTAAGTTTTTGGCTTAGAGCTGAACATATGTGAAGATGAGGTTTCAACATAAAATAATGCCCTTTGAACCTTGACCCAAGGGCATGTTTGAAGGCTTATACCTCAGCAACAAAAGGGGCTACAGACATGGGAATAACTGTTTTAGAGAGGTCTTGGAACAAAGTACCATGTGAGGGTAGTCAGCTCACCAAAACAACAGGGGAACCGCTATATATGGTTAAAATACATTTTAACAAATGTATCAATTATTTTTTAATTATCTGATAACATAAATGTGTTAACCATCCAATTAAACTCCCCTGTGTACCCTCAATTAAATATATATTACTTCTTGGGGAAACACTGAGATTTGTCTAAAAGACTACAATTCCTCAGAGTCAAGTCATACAGCTTGATACTGAATGGCACCATAATTGTAGTCTTTTCCGTTTCCAAAAAAAGGTTGTAACTAGGATTATAAAAGGCTTACTAAAGATATATTCACTGAATATGTCATGGATCTCGTGTGGCCGAAGTATTTATTGCATAGTACATATATGATCTATGTTAAAATAAAGTACATATATCAGTTAATTTCGGATATTTTGACTGTTATTCTAGAAATGGGAATTTTGGTAGTTATGTCTGGCATTGTGCACAGAGGGAACATAATTAGGGTTGTAAAAAATGTATATCTACCCACTATATCAAATATTTACTAAAGCGAATGGGTTTTGTAAAATAATCTAGACTATATATATTGTAAAAAAGTGGTCAAATCAAACCTGTTTTAAAAGATAGTATTAATCTGTCAGGATTATTTTGTTAAATAAAATTATTAAATCATATAAATCACACAAACTGTACAGTATTGTCTTTATGTATTAAGGATTGTTACATTTTATAGTTTATAATGTTGCTAATATGCATCGATCTGTTCCAATCGTTTTATTAAATTTGGTTGTAATGAAAGACATCCATAAAAATGTAACAGAAATCATTATTTATTGGATAGGAGCTTAGTTTGATGTGTAACCCGTTTTAAGAGCCACGAACCGAACGTCCACTTCCTTCCGGTTTGTTGTTAATAGCGTCCATAGCAACCACCATAGCAACAGTAAAAAACGTAACATCCCAACGTTTTTTCTGGCGAGACCTGAAAGACTGAATAAACGATATCATTCGCAATGGATTGTGGACTCTGGACGAAAATGATGTACACAGTCTTGAACCTATACCTTTGTTTCCAATTTTGACGCCGTTTTGGTGCCGAATTGAATGTACTATAGTCACGAGTGTTGGGGTAGCTTGTTGTCTTGGTCCCAAGCGCCAATCTCTTGATATAAAGATTTTGTGAAAAATCAATGTAGGATTTGAATGGGAAAATTTAATTCCGGAACCAAAGCAGCCAAAAAAAGAGCTGCGAACCGAACGTCCACTTCCTTCCCGTTCGTTGTTGATAGCATCCATAGCAACCACCGTAGCAACAGTAGAAAACGTAACAGTCCAACGTTTGTCTAGCGAGACCTGAAAGAATCTTCGTAGAAACTAACAAACTGAAGATCATAAACATAAACCGAACGAAGATTATGAAGATACAATGTACATTTGTCGCCAGAAAAGGTTATCAAAACGACACTTAAGCCTCAAACTATCTTAAAATATTGCATTTTCCGCCGAAAATAGAAGGGATGTCCGCCATGGTTTTTTTTTTGCGCCAGGGGAAAACTGGGCAGTCACTTGACCTGAGGTATGCCTATACAAAAGAATGTAGACATGTATTTTGCCCTACTACTACGTTTTGCGCTGTGGACAATGAGGTATACACAGACATGAGAGGAGGGGGGGGCAGGGGGTCTCCTGAGGTGAGACGTAATTTAAAAAAAAAAACGGCGCGGACAAGCAACAGACTTGGCTATACGATGCTATAATGAGAATATTTTCCTTTATATCAATGCTTCGTGTAATTCAAATAGGGAAGAACAAAATACTGACACACAGAAACCGTAATGCTGCCATTTAATTATGTTTAATTAAGTTTCTAAAGTTATATCCTGTCATGTCAAACTGAAGTGCAAAGATCAGTAGAAAAGAAGGGAGGTGACTTGGGGTCCTTTCTACTGGTGAGTCACTGAATTTAGGCGACAGCCCGAAGCAGAGTTCATGCTTCAATTTGAGGACACAAATGTGTAAACCACGTCAGTTTGGATATGGCAAATTCAGAATGACAGAAAGAGTCTGTGACGTGTGAATAAAAGATACATGACCAAATAAATATATAAAGGTAAATGTGAAGTGAGTGTAGACATTGCTTTTTAAAGCACCAAACCCAAACACCTAAGATTCAGAAAATCTACTAACTAGAACCAGGACAGTATCTAAACATAGATAATATATGTTATATATATGTTAAGGGTTATAAGGACTTTGGTTTCTGTTCTTCATTCCTCTACATTGTTACTTTTTTTACATTAAAGGCATCCCTCTCTCTTTCTCTCTCTCTCCAGCGGCCAGCAGCAGTTGGCTTCAGGAACATGTGGCAGATCTAAGTCGAAGGTAAGAAACGTCTGAATCACTTTTTTTTATTTGCTTATCTCTTCCTCTGATATCACCCCTCTCTGTTTTTGTGTTTTTTAGTCCTTCTCTCTCTCTCTCACTTTCTCTCTCGCTCTCTCACTCTCAGTCTCATTTTCTGTTCTTTATCAGCAGTTTTCTTTCTCGGGTAGGAACAGGACAGATCTTCTTACACTGACTCAACACACACACACACTCACACTCACACTCACACAGACACACACGATGGAAAAGTGCTCATTCCTGTGTGTGTCACTACCTACAGTGTGAATCTGTGTGTATGTGTATATGTGTGTGTGTATAAACAGGCACAGATGGCCTTCCCGTGTGGTCAAAGGTTCCTGTCAGTCAATGTGGTGGACATGATGTCACAGAGTCAGGGGGACAGTGGGACGGGTCCTTAGTTCTCCTGCAGGCAAAAAGATGAGCTCATTGATTGATCCATCCGTCCGTTCTTTATCCTTACTGCTTATCCTGCTCAGGGTCGCAGGGTGCTGGAGCCCAGCTGTCATTGGGTGAGAAGCAGGTACAGTCAATCACAGGGATGACATACAAAGACCAAACAACCAGTTACACTCACATCCACACCTATGGACAATCTAGAACCACCAATTAACCTAATGAGCAGGTCTTTGGACTACGGTAGGAGGTCGTAGTACATGCAAACCCCACAGAAAGATTCAAACCAGTTATTGTTATTTTTTTGGCTTTTTATTAAATCCAAAAATTAGTTGATTAGTCCACCGTATTAGTTCATTATTTGAGCTTTTCCTTCACTTTTAAAATGACAGTTTACAACTGAACAATAGGTGTTTCCACGACTAAGGTTAGTCGAATGTGATCTGATCTAATCAGATTCTCACTGTAGTCGACTGATCGTTGAATGTATATATCTATTTTATTTTGCGCTCATTGATACATATTCTCATTTGCAACATAAGAGAATAAAATGTTTTTCTATGATAGACTCATTAAGTCTGCAGTATTATGGTGACTTTATAACGATGTTACACATGCCCATTTATAACACAGAAGGGTTGAAGTAAAAATGATACTAGAGTATTAAGGTACTTGACTTTTATTTATCTATCTATATTGCACACAGAGAAACAACTAGATGATTAAACAACAAAAACTGAAATGAGATGATCCTTGTTTCATAATCAGTGTTCAACTGTAAGTGTAAATGAGGCTCTTTCGAAGGAGTGATTTACAATTTGGGCTGACCCCTAAGCAGCCAGGATTATTTTATGTGACAGTTATATGTGATTATCTTAACTGAATTGATCAAATTCAACAAATAAACACCTTTCTTGTATTATATTTTGTTGAGCTTTGTTCTGTGCCCCCATTTTCTCCCACTGTCTTGTCTTCTCTGTGTTTGCTCCCTTGCAAATTTGAGACTCTGATGCTTTGCTGTATGCAGGGATCTAAAACTCTGACCATTGACTCTTTCTGGAAACCTGATATTTGTGGTTGACAGCAAGGTGACACTTTGCACTAAGGTTGAATAACGCTGAAATTCTGCAAAATTGTTCCCTACAGAACTGCAATGTTCACTGGAGTAGTATTCTATGCCAGTCAAGGAAAACATGGAAACTGGTTTTCAACTTTCAACACAATATCACAGTTTCAAACAGTTTGCTAGACATGTTAAAATTTGGAAAATAAATTGTTGAAAGTGTAAAGATCTTAAAGCTCAGACAATGCGTCAGCAGGGATGATAAAAAAAAGTATATAATTCTTATCATGAAGCATTTTTCCTTTTTTTACAACCTGCTCTGATTAACCAGACACAAATTCTGACTTTCCTGACCTGACATGTTAAAATCTCTTGATCAGCGACGATGTTGTGAAAGAGGGCAAAGGAGGAGAAAGAAAGTCTGACGTGTTCAGGGTCTCTGTAGGTGTCCTAAGGGCAGAATTACTGCTCTTCCGCTGTGACACATCGGATAAAAGACAAATTAATACAACACAAGTTCATTTTTTTTGCCAATGTCCCAAGTCTGTCGTTCATTTTGTGTGTGTCTGTGTGGGGTTGGGGTGAGGGGGTATGCAGTCTAGTAGACAAAACTCTGTGTTCTGTACTATTTATAACTCGAGAAAGTCTTCTCCACACAATAATAACACTACACCAACCAACCAAGTAATACAAGGCATATCACCTAAAACTTTCTACTAGACCTCAGTTAGTGTTGGAATAGTTTATTTATTTATATGGTGCATATGTGTGCATGGGTGTACACAGCTCTACCTCTACCTTTACATGTTTGTTATTGCAGAGGTTTTCTTTTCTTTTTTTTGTTTCTTCAGATTTTTTCTGATTGTGTAATATTGGCTGGTTGGTGGGTGGCTAGACTTGGAGGAGCATTACGTGTGAGTGATTGTGAGTGTGTGTGTGTATGTTGTGTGGGTGTCTCTGTGTTTAAATGTTTTGGTATTATGTTTTAGATTTACCTTTCATTTTGATTTTGTATTACTGATGATTATATTTATGTTTTGTGAGGACCCCCTCGAAAGTGAGATGATGCATCTCAAGGGGCTATCCTTGAAATAAATTACAAATTAGACTTACATGTCTAAAAATCCTAGTTTCCATTTCAAGTAATTCTATTCCTTAGATCTATTTTCTTTGGTTCCCAATTCTGTATTTGTCCCTCAACAACAACTAAATCTACAGACAATAGGATTACAGTATCTTACCTCAGGGAGCTGATACGAGAACGCAGCAGGATATTATCAGGAGAATTCACCTCGAGCGAGTGAGAGGGAGTGGTGACGTTTATTCCCTGCGATCAGTGCACAATTATAGACTGTATGCACGTGGCCGCTCTGATCTCTGTGCACTATTTGAAACATCTGCCCTGTTTTCTGTTGTGTTTTGTTGACATTGTGGTTCCATCAAACTACCCATAGCATTGATAAAAGCAAATACTGTCATTATAGCTTGTTATAGCAGACTCCGTTTCTTTAACTGCCACTTTCGCGTAAGTCTTTCTACGTCATGTCTTGCCTCAGGAGACCTCGCTCCCTCCTCCCATTGGACGGGGATAGTCCCCCACTGTGAGGTGTGTATGTGAACAGGCAGGTCAGGAGGTTTTCAGGAGCAGTCCTCCTGAAAGTTATCTTGAAATTCTCAGGAGTTCACATCTGAGCAGAGCAGACTGATGCTGAGTGTCAACTGTTGTGATTAATATTACATCCAATAGTGGGTTCCCACATCTGAATTGAAAAGAATACACACACACACACACACACACACACACACACACACACACACACACACACACACACACACTCTCATCAGCAGTGCAGGTTTCTCGGGCCGACAGCCTGGAGAGTTCTGCAGCCGAACTGAGCCGTGATTGGATAAGAAGGCAGAACAGAACAGGACGTCCCAGCCTAGTTTTGTGCGTGCGAGCGTGCGTGCGAGCGTGCATGTGTTTGTAGAAGCCTGTATGTGTGTGTGTGTGTGTGTTGGCTTGTAATGTGTCTTTGTGTCTCTGTTTGTGTGCGTCTCTGTGGTTTCTGAGAATGTGTATGTGTGCGTGTGTGCCTGTGTGGTAATAGTGTTTCCCTATTTAACCCCAGCAGGGTCTGAGGGCCAACTGGGTTATGTAAAGCCTGCTGTTCTGTCGGCCACACCAACCAATGGCCTGAAACCTGTGTATGTTAGTGTGTCTTTGAAAGTAAGCAATGTCAAGAAAGGAAGGGCAAATATGTTGTGTATGATGGACAAGAAGTTTGGCTCATGAAGAATTTCATCAAATGCAAATTCTGCTTATGTCACATTAGTTTAATCTAAAAGAATCATGTCATTTTTATGTAAGTGAAGTTCATTTAAGTTCACATTTGTATTGTATTTATCATCAGGTAATGACCTCAATCGTAATTTTAATAAAACAGCAATGAATTTTGCTTTGCGATTATTGACCAAGGCCAACTTCTTATTTGCATCTAATCACAAGATTTGTAATTGAGATTATGAAAATACCATAGACCAAATATAGGAAGTTGAAATGTCAAGCATGACCTCACCCATAGGTCTGTGGGCTAAAGTTTTGAAGCTTGGCAAGTTTAGCCATTGCCAACCCTTTTCTTTAGTAGGCTGAAGTGATCATGTTTTGACATCAGGTTAGCTGTGTTTGCTTTCATCTGTCTGGATTGATATGTCACTGTGGTATATTTGTCAGTCACAAATAGCCAATCCTCAACACATACCCTGCTTTAATATCTACACCAAATGGGACCATATTTTACAAAATGAACATCATAATACCGTCTCAGTGACACCCATTGGTTTCTAAAGAGGAGTTTTGAAGCTCAGCGATGGCGATAACCACCTAAAGAGGCAAAGAGATGGAGATAAGGTGGGCCTTTAGCCTCCTGGCAATCGGCTACAACGCACCCACCTGGCAGTCGTACACACCCAACTCTATGCAGATTTCTGCATATCTCAAAGACTTTATAAAATCAAAACAGATGAGTTAAACCACCCCCCTCTTGCAGTTTTTCCACGAATAATGACATGACATTTCAATACCTGAGATTGCCACTTGGTCCAAACCCTACTCTGAGCACTCTGTTGGCATTTTCATAATAACAACACGGCATAAATATCCTTTCATTATAGAAATGTTCCATCCTCTTCTTCATCTTGAACAGATGGAAATCATGATATAACTCACTATCCGTATAATCAATTGTATAACTCCTCTCACCTCCTAGATGTGTCTTTTAAATGTTATGTGACAAACTTTCTTGCATATTCCCCCATCCTATCACATGGGTTTGGTTATGTAAACGTACCGTTTTTGTATTTGCGTCAATGAAGGGATGTCCTGAATGGTTAATCAGGTGTGTCCCACTGAGCTCTGATAAACTCCCCCATGGTGCAGTCTTTAGGGGCATGAGGGTGCACTGTGGAGGTAAACAGAAACAAAGTGTGATGCAGAACTTATCACCAAAGCAAAATGTGTCATTTAAAGTTTAAACGGCAATATTATCAACAAACCTTTTTCTAAATCAAATACTCTTAAGGACAAGGTTCAAATCTGGCAACAACTGAAAAAAGCATGTCATTTTGTGGATATTTTCTAGTAACCGTTTTGTTGTCCTTAGTCCAGTTTGGAGACCCAAGTATATCCAGTGTTGTCTGTTGCTGTGCTTTAATCCGTCGCTCTCTGTCTGCAACATGTTTGGATTAACACACACAAACACAGATGAGGTCACATGTCAAATTATATCAATGCATCAAGAGGGATTATGGGATCACTGGGATTGTCAATCTCATCCCCAACTCTCCCCTTTTCTTTTCCCTTATCCTCTCTCTCTATATTCCTTGCCCTCCGTCTTTTTTGTCTTTCAGTTGTCTTTACTGTTCTTGCCTGTTACACACATTAAGCTTCTGCACAGTCAAAGCTGGCAGTTCATTCCCATTGTTGTGTTAATAATGAAATGGGTTCACAACGGGTTCACTGGGTTCAGTAAAATGCTTTGGCTACAGGAACTGACCCAAAAATAATCTGTCATTTTCAAGGTGTGTTTTTTAATTGCAGTTAAAATGGCTTTATGTAATCTTCTTTCTGTCAAGGCTTTATTAAATAGCACTGGGTTTTTAGATAAATAAAATCTTCAAAGTCACAAACTTTGTACATGAAGCACCATTAATTCTAAAAGAGTGGCCCAAAGTGCTTTACAATAAGGACACTATGAGATTTCCTTAAATATGACCTTCTGTGTTTTCACATTAGCTTCACTGACTTCATGATGTTGCTGTTTGTGTTCAGATGTGCTTGTGCAAGTGTAAAATCACTATCTGACTCTGACTTGAGAATCCTCAGTTTTCAGATTTTGTGGTTATAACTGAGCTGAACGATAATGTAAAATGAGCTTATGTGAAAAGTTTAAGTTGTCTTGTAGAGTAAAATGTAGTTAAAATCAATCTTAATCTGGTTGCCCAGCTTCTTTTTTTCTCCCCTCTTGCTTACTTTTTATTACATTAATAACATGTTGACAATCATGTCACTTGTTTGTGATTTCACTTTTATCCGATGACAGACACCTTGCGTCATTCTGCCTCTGCGCTCCTCCTCATGTTTGTGACTGTGTTTGATGCTATAGGCGATAGCAGCCACAGAGCGCCGGCCTTTGACGTATTGGAAATTCAATCTGACACACAGCCCAGGAACCATCCGCCTGGGTGTGCATTCATTGACCTATTAATCTGTTTCAGGAAGACCGGGCCGGATGTTTACAGAGAGAGTGATTGGAATTGGATGATGCCGTGTTTTGGGAATCACCCGAATGTTTTGGGAGGGAACTAGACCAGCAGGCAGCTACACTTAGCCTCTGAGTGCTAAGTCGTGTTAGCTGTGTAATTTATTTATGCAGGAAGGGAAATTCAAAATATCACATTTTGAGTGACTTTAATTGGCTTTAAAGTAGTAACAACAGGCTTTCCAAGCCGAAGAAAACATTTTCTTTAAAATAGATTGAACTTTGCTTATTCATATCATTACTTTCAATTGATCTCAGAATCTTGTTTTCAGATGTTTATTCTGCTGCTCATTTTCTTACAAAAACCTGAAAGTGAAACAGGAGGGGTGGTGGGGGGAGCTGAGGGATGAAGGAGGTGTGTCTGAAGAGATTGTTTAATAAGGTCTGAAAATCTCCTCTGGTTGAATAGTAAACCTTTCAAATCTTTTCAAGAACTACAGAACCTTTAATTGACTGATGAATTCATCAATATTGTATCAACTCATTCCTTCTTAGCCCGTTGGCTTCCCCTCATGCCTGGTTTATTTAAATTATGAAGAGATTTTTTTAAACCTTCTGTTGAAGAGGATTCTTAATCAACAGATCAGTGAGCGGGATTTTGCTTCAGCTTAGTGATATTTTACCAATTTTAAAAAACAAATCATTTAACAGCCTTCATTCCTTCCCAGTAAATGGAAGAGGAGTTATTGATATGTGTCCTCATTGACCTTGTTTAATTAATCTAACAGCATTATTCCAGACAATTAAATCTGCTCCTCAGACATTCAGATAACACAGCTGTTGTTTAAACCTCCAACGTCACATGGTTCTCTCTCATGTGTCACATCATTCTGCATCATGTCCAGCTGTCAGACCACATTAAACCTTTTCATATACATCACTCCCTGCTGTAGTGCCTTTGAGCAACACTTTGTAGACCACCCCGACCTTTGTTGACGAGTTGAAGTGCACAGAGAAGTCCTGATAGATAAAAATGCTTGAGAAAGGAAATCAAAGCCAAAATGTAGTTTGGGTTTATGCTGAGCAGGGAAGTTGGGAATTGTTTTTGCTAAATTCAAAACATGGAATTTACATTAGTGAAAATTGGAGCTCAGATTGGACCTTGGCTTAGTTCAATTGAACCATTAGGATTAGTTTACACATGTTTCCAATATTGATTGATGCATCGAGGTTGTCATACAAATGTAAAAAACTAATAGACTTACAAAATTCCTTTCTTTGTTGCTTGTTCTTTGTTTTTTACCCATGAACCAAAAAACAATTCTGATGAATATCATAAAGGACAAACATTAAACAGGAAATATTTAGAACAGAAAATGTTAATGTTCAAATCTTTACCAATGATTTCCCCCAAAATGTATCAACTTATCATTGCAGCTCTTTGTTTGTTGATCACTTATTAAAAAAAGCAAAGAAACTTGCAGTTTAACATTTACAGTGCAGTGAATGTAAGTATCTGTTGATCATTTATCAGAGTCTCAGAACTGTACTATGAATCTCATTGTTACAGCAAAAACAAAGTGCTAAGCCTCAGCGAAGAATCATATTCATTCTGTTGGAAACATTCATGAAATAGTTTTCTGGTCCATCTAGACAACATGAATGGCATTTTCTTTTATCATTTAACAACACAGTTAAATGTAGTAAAATGCAGCTTAGGCTCCTGCCAAAGACCAACATAACATGAAACAAAACAAGAATGATCCAATCAACTCGGGTTCAAGTCCACTAAAGTCAATTAAGGCGGTGTGATCGGGTTAAAGGCCTAATCCCAAAGACAAACATAAACACAGAGAAGCTACAGCCTACTACAGAGAGGATGAGGAAAAAGACTCAGACCTCCAGAGACCACAGGCAACAGATGGAGAAGCTGGCTCAGTCAGTAAAATATGAGTCAACTTCTATTATTATTTATTATCTATTATATTTTTTGTTATTTAGTTTCTGGGGTCAATTGACTTATGTATGCTTGGATAGAACTGTTGTCCAAAAGTCTATTAATGGATTTACTGTTGCTAAATGATTCTTAAAAAAAAAAAAAAATAGAATCGTAATAAACAAACTTGATCCACAAAAAGACAAATGTATAAACATCACAGATCCTCAAAAGCGTATTAAAACCATAACATTATATGTAGTGGAGCACTTACAGATCAACTTAGTTGCTACTTCACATGTATTAATTTAGCAGAAATAATTTGAGCTAGTTGCACCCAAGTACTGACAAACATATGTTTTTATTTTATATAAGATGTAAAAAGGGTCGTCATGTCACACATACTGATACAATTAAGTCCATGAAACTTAGTTCTGTTAGATTGTTTAAATGTAAAGAGTTCATTTCTTCATTGTTACAGGCTAACATTAATCCCTTTTCACAGTGTGTACAGTGTGCTGTTTTGTTTAATGTTACTCTGACTTTGATGAATACTAACACAGATTACACTGTTAGCTGGTGTATAAAAAGTCAAATTTTTCAAGTCCTACGTTTAAATAAATCTTTTAGTCCACTTAACTGTCCAACACCAAAACACTTTTCATTAGCTAGTATAATAACACCAAAGCATTAGACAATTATTTTCTTTTGATCAATTAAGGCACTAATCTTTAATGATAATCAATGTTTTGTTAACTGTAAAGGTAACATATTATCCTAATTTTCAACCAGTCTAAATAAGTCTCAGAGCTCCCCAAACCGTGTCTCTGAAGTTTCTGGCTCAACATCCACTCTGATCCTGTATTTTAAAATGCCTATAAACCTCTATTTTAGCGTTGCTCAGAACAGGCTGTTTCTGTGTCTGCAGCTTTAAATGCAAATGAGCTGTGGTTGACCACGCCCCTCTGGAAGGGCTTTTGTGGCTTGGGATTTCTTGCATCATACCCAATTGTTTACAGTGAGGAGGCAGACTCAGAGGACAGAACTAACACCTAGCTGTGGGAGTGTCACCCAACTGGGGGAGGGGTTACTGCCCTTTGTGATGTCATGAAGGGAACATCTCAACAGCCTGTTTGAGCACACATTTTCTAAAAAGTGGAGTAGGCAAAAGCCAGAGAGGATGGACTCATAATTGGGGGGTTTGTAGACAAGTCAGGTGCACACACATAGAAAACCATGGTTAAATGTATTTTTCATGATTTGTGACCTTTAACTAGCTGTGTTTGGGTTGAAAATGTGAATGTGAGTAAAAATGAAAAAGAAAATCTCAGTTTTTCTGATTTAGTCTTTATTGAAAATATTTGGAGTTGATCATGTTCACTAATCCGGTTTTGCTTTGTTTGGTGTGTGTTTGTGCAGTTTGTGTGGCATCATTCCAGGTCTGAGCAGTGTGCTGCTGCCTCGTATGAATCCGTTCGTCCTGATCAATATGGCAGGAGCTCTTTCCCTCTGCATCACCTACATGCTGATAGAAATCAAGTGAGTATATATCTCCCAATGAAAACAGCTGGAAAAACCCTCCAAATCACCAGCGCCCAAAACTGTTCATAATTACTATGAAACCAGGTCGTCTTGCTCTAGTTTGTTGTTTCAATGTTTCCTGTCGCTGCTTTAAACTGTCCTAAATGTTTATTCTCACTGAGCTTAAAATGTATCCACATGCTCGACGTCCCAGTGGGAAAAAGAACATGCAGAGATGGGATAGAAAATGAGACTTTTGAATTGGTGGCAAAAGTGTAGTTAGTTGTTCCTTGAAATATTTAGAGTGATGGTGATAAAAATATAAAAGAAAGAGGAGGGGGAGAGGGTCACCAAGGGTTCATTTTGTGCAACATTTACATGTTTTAGCTAGCTCGGGTTATGGAAAACACCAAATATCTCAGCATACCTTTACAACAAAATTCAACATCAAACTCCATCCTCTTTCAGAAGAGCTCATAAATGGAGCTTGTGGTTCAAACGTTTCCTCAAAGATATAATGAAACAGTGGCATTCTATATTTTATTACCTGGAACGCCCTCTTGGATTTGTGCCTCCGAAAGTCATAAGAACCCCACTAACCCTGACCTCAAAATGAAGTAATATATTGCCTATGAAGACTTTTGTCTTATTGGTGTCTCTTTGAATCAGGCTTACATATGGCTGCATATAGGAAAACAAATGTTTGAATCTCTTGATCTAAAGATTTAATAACCTTGTTAAACGTTTTGTGTCTGATTGAGGCAATTGCAAACAAAGCAGTAAATATAAGATCTTACAGTGTTCCTTCAGTATTCATGTTTCTTTAATTTCTTCAATGTTGTTCATATTTAGAAGTTCCTCATGTCCTTTGCTCTGTGTGTTTTCTCAGTAACTATAATGCAGTGGACACAGCGTCTGCAGTCGCCATCGCTCTGATGACCTTCGGCACCATGTATCCCATGAGCGTCTACAGCGGCAAAGTGCTGTTGCAGGTACGACCATCTCGTCTTTATTCATAGACCAACACTGACATATTCAAAGTAGGGTCATTTTAATAACTGCCTCGCGTCTCATTCACAGACGACGCCGTCGCACATCATTGGCCAGCTGGACAAACTGCTCAGAGAGGTGAGGCTTAGTGATATTCAGCTGAACTGTATTTCTGAACGTGTTCCTCTTCAGGTATTTATCATTATTATCGCTGTGTGTTAGACAAATCGCCTCTCAGAGACATTAAATATGTATTGATTTATCTCTGTAAAGACAATAAAAGTCATTATTGGGTTATTATTTTAAAAGTCTTTAAAAGATGATTTTAAGGATATCATTTAAAAAATCCCTACTAATATTACCAAAAGTTGAAGGTCCCATATTATGCTTTTTCTGGTTTTATATGCTCTTTAGTGTGTTTTCCACATCTATTTGCAAAAATTCAAAGTCCGCGGAAACGCGGCTTCTCCTACGTCCTCCTGTTAGCTTCAGCGTTAGCTGCAGCGTTAGCTGCATGTAACGTTCGGTTCTAGCCCGCCTCGATAAAAATTTGTCAGTCCGACGTCATTGTCAATGTGAGATCACTGATCTAAGCCCATTGGCTCGTTGTGGCAAGCCCAGCAGCTCATGTTGCACACCCGTTAACTTCTGTAGCACGACCACGATATGCCGTAGCCTGCGGTAGCACAGTAGTGCTAAGGTGCTAATGTTTATGCTACCCTCGGACGGAGCCAGTGGCTGCATTCCAAATATAGTAAAAGAGGCGGGACATTTCCGAGAAGCGTGCTGAGCAACTGACCAATAACAACAGAGCAGATCGGCAGACCAATCAGAGCAGATTTGGCCCACGTGGGGTCTTAACAGTGTGGGCTCAACAGAGCGTAGCTGACGGACTCAGAGCGTAGAGGGAACAAGGAGGAGCAGTACATGAAAACAGACACTTTTTTCAGATTTTAGCTATTGTGAACGTACAAAAGTAGGTACATAGATTAAATATACGAACCTCAAAAAGGGCATAATATGAGCTGTTTAAGACTTAAAAATGACCGTTTGGGTGATTGTTACATTTTCAGCCTTTCAGCTTCACACAAAAAAATCTGTATCTTAAAGTCAGGAAGAAATACAGAGAATATTTTCTCATGACATATTTTAAATGTGTAGGAAAACAAACAAGGTATTAATGTCTGTATAAACAACCAGTATGTGAAGTTACAGTAATAACATGGTCATTGGTTGATTGTTCCTCTTTGTGACCAATCAGGTGTCAACGCTGGAAGGAGTTCTTGAGGTTCGCAACGAGCACTTCTGGACTGTTGGCTTTGGATCTCTGGTATGTTTCTCCACCAAGGATCCAAAGATGCAGAGCAGTAGTTGAAATGAAGCGTCTTTTTCAGCTTGTATTTCTAACATTGTAAAACCAGATTCAGTCAAACAGTGAAGTGTAAAACTTAAGGTTAAAACAGGAGTTTCTTGTCTTCTAGCTCTTATTGTGATTCTTGACACTTCGAATATAAACTATAAGGCTAATAGAACTGTCATGAAGTGCAGCTGAGGCGTCCCAATCTAACGAGATTTAGGGTTGTGACCTTGGTCCGTTCTGACTCCTTTTTCCAAACTTCTTCTTCATCCTTTGCTCTTTTATTATTCTCTCTATCTCTCATTCCTCCTGCCCCCCCCCCCGTTTGTTTGTTTTGATTGTCTGTGTTTGTATCTCGATCCCCCCTCCGTCTCGTTGATCCTTCTCTGTCATTCGTCAGTTCTGAGTGATGATCAGCAGTGGATTTGTTCACTCAGACAGAAAGAAGGAACAAGTCATTCATGCGGAGATGTCCTCGCTGTCTCTCTCCTCCCCCTCTTTCTCCAGATATTGGAGGGAACACTGGTGATGTCTGTGTTACGTTGTCATCATGTATGTTTTATTTTGTAGTAGCGGCGATTAACAAGCCCAGCTGGCGTGTCTTGGAAAAAAACACACAGACATGCAAAGCATCTACAAACAGCATGCACACACACTGGTATCTGAATACCTTTTTGCAAATACACAATCAGCAAGACAAATGATAATTCAGAGCTTAACTGCTCTTTACCCTAAAGTTTAATGGGGTCCTTACTCCATCAAGTTTCTTCAGCTAATTCAAGGTAGGGTCACGGTGGCAGCAGGAGAAGTACGTCTACCCAGGCTACCCTCTCCCCAGCAATGTTTTCCAGCTCCTCTTCTGGGACTTTGAGGCATTCACAGGCCAGACCGTATATACAATTCTTCCACCAAACTCTGGGTCTACCCTGGGGTCTCCTCCCATTTGGTCATACCTGGAAAACCTCCAGAGAGGCAACCAGGAGGCGCCCATATCAGATGCCTTACCCACCTCAACTGGCTTCTTGTGATGCAGAGAAGTAGTGGCTCTACTCGGATTTCCCGCCCGAATGTCTGAGCTTCTCACCTTAACTCTGCTTCTCACCTTAACTCTAAGGCTGAGCCCAGACACCATTTGGAGGAAACTCATGCTTGTATCCCCAAACTGGAAACCCTCCTCCCCCAGCTGTGCCTTGAGATCCTGTCCATGTAAATCACAAACATAATCTGTGACATGGGCCAACCCTGGCGAGGGCCAACATGCAGGAGGAACGTGTCTGACTTTGTGCAGAGACACAACTCCACTTTGGTCAAATAGAGACCCGATGGCTCTGAAAAATGCCCCCCCCCCCGAGGGTGACGGTCATAAGTCTTCTCCAACTCCACAAAACACATCTGAGTTGATGAGCAGACTCGCATGCCCCCACTGCTAGGGCTGTGTTCCTGTCCCTCACTCTTCCATGCTATGCCTGTGTTTTTGTGTGTTTGTGTGTATGTAGCAGTTATACCACATGCTGCCTGCAGGAGGAGCAGCGTCCTCTATTTACCTCCTCCTTGACGTTTATCGCTGTTTTTATGTCTGTCAGCGATGCTGCTGCTCCTGTTGTTGTTTCCTATGATGTTCCTGCAGTTACACAACTGTTGGTTGTTGGCCCACTGCTAACAGAGCAGCTGTCCAAACTGATTTGACCCCCTGACTGCACTTCTGCCCCACGGGGGGACTCAGTGTGTATGTGTGTGTGTGTGTTCTGTCCTTTTAAGGTCTGAATGTTCCCATGAGGATGGGGAAATTAGCAAACACTGACAAAATGTAGAGCTCAGTTTAGCGTTTTAAGGTCAGATTTCAGAGTCAGAGGCTGATTGTTGAGATGAGATGTGCTGAGATGAAGGTCATCTAGTCTTCAAGACGTTTATTTAACCAGCTATGTTAGAAGTTTCTGTTCCATAGAGACTGCTGAGGAAATCAGCATCATTACAGAACAGTCTGAGGTGATTCAAAATCAGACATTATAATTATTACCATCTGTGTTTAGCCCAATCACAAGTGATACCCAGCCCTAGTAACAGTAATTATCAGTGATGGATTCATATAATTATTGTTGGTTAAGATTTATTATTTAACTATGTATGCCTTTATTCAGACAGGACAGTAGAGGTAAAGTCAGAAACAAGGTTTAATAATAGAAAAATATCAGAGGACAGAAACACCAAATGTTTCTTCTTAACACTTCTGTTATGTTTTCAAAGGATGTTGTAGTAATTTGTTTTAATGTCCAATTATATTTCAGTTCTTACCCTTTTGCCCTTCATCCCTGATCTTTTCACTCTCTGCCTCTGCTCATACTCTCGTCTTTCTGTTTCTTACCTTGCCTCTCTTCCCCTCTGATTGTTTCAGGCTGGCTCCGCTCACGTCCGTATTCGCCGGGATGCCAACGAGCAGCTAGTTCTAGCTCACGTCACCAACCGACTGCTGCCGCTCGTCTCCACATTGACCGTCCAGATATTTAAGGATGACTGGACCAGACCGCTCCTCACAGGGGCCCTCTCATCCTCCACCTCTGTGCCCCCCCTGGGTGCTGCTGAAGGCTACACCTCTGTCTCTTCCTCCTCTATGCCTCCTCTGTTGTACTCCTCCGCTGGAGAGCTGGACCCGCTGACCTCGACGCCCTCCAAACCCAGCAGCCCTCCTCCAGAGTTCGCCTTCGACACACCTGGGAGGAACATGCAGCCGATGGTTCTCCCCACGCCAGGGCAGCACACCCACAGGCCATATGGAGGCCTGGGACTCGCCTACGGAGCGTACCCCTATGCAGGGATGCCGAGTCAGGGCATTGCTCGGCCTGGAGGTGGACTTGGACTTGGTGTGCAGGGCTTAGGGGCGGGGTATGGACTGGGTGTGGGTGGGAGCGGCGTGCCTTCCTCTCAAAGCTACAGAACTGCCTATGGAGGGTCGACAGCGCCACTCAGGTTTGGAACCAGCAACCCTCTGGCTTCACAGTCACAGTACAGACAGAACAGACCCTGATTGTGCTGAGCTAGAACTTTGCCTCTGTACCTCCCAAAGACTTTTTTCATGATGGAGGTCAAGGTCTCTAAAACTGATGGGATTTGTTTCTTTGGCAGACAGGTCAGTCTACGCTACAACCGTTGGTTCCCAATGCAACAACAGGACGGTAACTTTAGAGAATCTGAGTTTGGTGTAAAATCTTGTAGTGTGCATCTCCCCTGAATGTTCAGGAGTGATGGTGGGTGTGGTGGGGTATTTATTTTACTGAAACGGGGACCACAGTGCCAGTAAAACTCAAATCTAACAAGTGTATTTGTCTCATTCTAGTCCAAAATATCTCAATACACTTACACACTACACTGCAAATGCAGCAAGCAAATTGTCCATGTTCAGTGTCTTAAAATGAGATGTGCCAAATAATTTAGAGTGCATCTCATTTTATGACCTAAGTAAAATCTGCTTTCAACATTGAAAATACTGAAAAGCAACGCATTCCTTATATTTTGCTTTTTCTGTCTTGAAATATGATTTGCATCTGGACTTAGCAGGTGAAAATGGATTATAATAAGTGTTATGAGATTTTTTTTTTTTTTTTACTAGAATAAGACAAAAGCACTTCCTAAGATTTGAGTTTTTGTAGTGTAAGAGAAGGACTTCTGGTTGGATATGCTTTTTGTTTTTTTATTAGGAACTTGCAAAACCACCTCATTGTGGGACAAACAATGTGTCCATACTAATTGTAACTTTTGTATGAGGAAACACTGGGAGGAAAGTTGTTTGAGACAGCGTTAAACATTCCTTATGAGCGAAAAGAGAAATCTTCCAATTAGAATTTTAAAAAAAGATTCGGCTTCAGACATTTCAGAGAGACTTAAACTCAAACAGTTTGACAGTTAACATGAGGGAAGTCCTCGATCACAATAACAAGAAAACTCATATTGAAGAGGAAAGGGGTTTCAATACTCAAAACAGCGTACTGGACCAAATGGAGTGAGAAGATTGACGGTTAGAAACTGATTATGATTTGAAAAAAAAAAAAAAACAGTTAAATGTTCTGTTGTCACTTGAAAAGCATTAATTCATCTGCTTCAAAGTGTTGCCTTAAAGTGTCCTGAGTGTTTTTACAGTCACCTGTCCTGGATTCATACAAAATGTATTGTTCCATACAAAAACATGTGACTGTTTATATGTGTAAGTAAAGGCTGAGATCTGTCCTGCCCTCTGTTCTGATAATATTTCTCCCTTTTTTTTTTTTCAGATTCAAATTTGTTCTTGGAATAAAAGAAATGCTCTTTAATTGGCACAGTTATTACATCACACGATTTAGTCTGCAGAACTACTACCGCTGCTTGATTAAAACTGTGAAACGTCAAATCAATATTTTTTGCAGAATCCTTAATTTATCATGTATTGTTTGACTAACAACACAATCACAAGGATTGTTCTGAAATCTTCACTTTAAACAAATATGAACAAGTGAGGCAGCACACTGACTGCATCATCAGCTCTTCAGATGACATAACGTTCTCATCTACAGTCTGTGTATGTGTAACTCCTTCATACGTGTTCAGCAAAAACATTTGATCTTCTCCAGTCACAATTCAAAGGCTTTGAGAAGAAAAGTTGATGGCAGTTATTTTTACTTTGTATTTCCATATGAACTATTGAGCCTGTGGTTAAGAATATGGGATACCTTTCAGAGTGTATTGTTTGTCTAAGATGTTCATGAGTGAGGGGAAGTTTCAATCTGGACTCGGGCTGAGTGTCACAAAACAGTGATTTCTCTGTGGAGTTGAGAAATGAAATATATGTAGTTTGGACCTAACAGTAAAACACAGTGCTAATCCAAGTCAGAGAAATGCTGTTTACAGAGGACACACTTTGAGTTACACTGAGCATTGAGGACATATACACCATGGTATGCTTATTAAAAAAAGAATGATGTAAAAAAAAAAAAAAAAATGTTGTGAAAATTGCTATCCAGCTTTTTTCTTATATTTTCTCTTCTGATGCATCACAGCTGTCACCTGGCTATGAAAGGACAGCCATTGTTCAGTCTGTACCATGACCTGAAGTGAGCAAAGAAAATATTATTGTTTTATTCTGTGACGCTTTATATGGTTTATTTGTCGTTGAGTTTGTGAGTTACTATACACATTTTTGCATTCATTCAGGAATCGTTCCATATAATCTGTTTGACTTTTGTTAAGTGACAAAAACACACCAAGTGTCACTCAGTCCTGTGCATATACATCACTTAAAACAGGTAATTCAGTAAAAGTACATAACGTCCGCAGAAAAACCAACGATGAATGAGTCGAAACATTCAGATGGGGCATATAAACTCGTTTTCTTTGCCTTTTTTCGACAAAGCATGAAGGGAACCTTCATTTAATCCACCTGCTGTTAACAAAAATATAGACTGAATTTTTACTTTCACTGAAAATGGTGTCACACATTGTAAATACATAGAGATACATGTCAATGGTTTTTTAAGGTTTACATTTTAAGGGACTGAACTGGAGGCTATTAAGTTAAAATGACAAAGAGGTGTTCTCATTTAACATGCTCCCATCATTCTGTACATATGGTCATTTAAAAGACATCAGAAGAAAACATCCAGATGCCTTTCATTCGTCCATCTACTTCTGCAGGCGTCACAGATCTACATCAGTGTGAGTCTGTTTGCTCCCTCAAGGCTCAATGGGAAACCTCTCCTCTTCATCAGATCTTGATATGAACTGATGACCTCCTGACCTCACAGCATCTGTTGTAAAGGCGATATCTCTTCTCCTGTTACAGAGCTGATAAGTAAGTAAGTAGATCAACTTCAGATAAACTGTACGAAAGAGTTGAGATCCTCGTTTTGCAAAGGCATTCTCACAATTCTGTGCATTTCCTGCAAAAAAAATGTCCTGATATGTGACGTGAATGCAAGTGGTTCCATTGTCATAGTGAAGATTCTTGATTTTAACCTAACCTTAAAACAAACCTGCTGTAATTCCCCATTTACAGCTCAAGAGTGGTGGTAGTTCAACAAGTCCTTGAATCAGACTACAGACCTGAAGGGCAGTGCATTGATTCCTGTGGCAAACTTAATTAATTGTAACAACTATACATTGAAGTGCAACACTTCAAACATACCACAGAGATATTTCGCAATAAAAGCTACATCCCTCCTTTTCTTTAGAAGCTTTACAATGCACACGTTACAAAATATACTATGTAACTCGTTTTAGTCTGCGTTGTATTAAATCACCTCAAAGATATCGTGAAACAAACTTAGATTTCTTTACCTGTGGTATTACACATCGGTTTGTGGACTACAGTTTTGTGTGACCATGTTTGGTTGACTGGTTGGGGCTGAAGTGAGGCGGGAGTTAGCAAACACTAGAACATCAGTTATAAGGTATCTCTGAATTGGTTAGCAAATCGCAATTCATGGAAATTGTTATACTGACCAGGATGGGTACGTGTATTATGAAAGGAGCATGAAACTACCTATGAAGACCAAAAAAAAACCATCAGGGTAATGTTTACTGAGCTAATAGTCCATGCGCGCGCACTAACCACTGTATGGAGACCATGGTCCTCCAAGGTTGGAATCCAACCTGTGGCTCCTTTCCTGCATGTCATTCCCTGAGTTCCGACTCTATCCACTGTCCTATCTCTCCATTAAAGGCAAAAAAAGCCCAAAAATAAATATATAATTTAAAAAAAACTGAAGTAGAACCAAAATACTTTCCGAACTGAAGATACTTTCTTTGGTTTAAAATACTTCAAATATAAAAGAACTGATTTAATTTTGAGAAAGTACATTATCTAAACCTGACCATGGGACCGTTCAATAAAGACACAACATTACATGTCAACCCAGGACACTCTTTTGATGACTCTTTTGGCAAAACCCTAGCAATGTTCCTCCCCTTGTTTGTATTTCAGCCACGCGTCGCCATGCTTGCATAATAATGTATGACACACTTTAGCGACTTAGCAGCGTCTGGTCATTATTTTCTCCCCTGCAATCATGTTACCCTTTTGGCCTGCAGTTCATCGCCCTCGCATCCTTATCAGCCCGGAAAATATTCAAATGAATGAGCGCCGCTGCGGGCCGCAGAGTGAGGCTGAGGTGAGGAGACAGCTTTGAGTCCAGCAGAGCCGCAATGTGTTAAGAGGCCAAAAGGCTCCTGACCCCTTTACTGACAGACCCGCCTGGTCTCCAAAAAAACATTAATAGGCACAAGTTCTACTCTTTTCCAGACCAGTACTCATTGATCAACGTGTTTGTTTAATATCAAACAAAGAGAAGAAGATTTGGCACATTCCGAGGGAAGCTTTCCTAAGAGTTAAATCAGTTCACAAGGTGGATGTTTGTGGGCTTTGTTCCAAAACATGATTAAATGCAGCGACTGTGGAAGTGCCAAACATTACGAGATGCTCGCTGACAAACCGCTTGACCTCTGGCTCCTTCTTCAAAACAAATTAAAGCTACCCTGTGAGGTTTCCTCATTTGCAGCTCTGTTTACAATTCAAGGCCCTTGACAACCAGAGTTTTACAATCCAGTCTTTTAACTCCTGTGCTGCAGTATTTGTCTGATAAGACTTCAAACTCACTCAAACATATCACTCACTTCTCTCACTTCCTGGCGAGGCTGAGGTATTCAACCTGCTAAAGACATTGGCAGTGTTGAGTCCATCCTTACCTCCTCTGTTAGCTGGTATTTTACATCCTAGGACGAGGTCAGACCACAGCACATCACTCACTCAGCAGAGAAGATGATTGGCTGTAATGTTGCATCTCTCCTTGACCTGTATAATTCTTAACACCCTGAAATTGGAGATTTGCCATTCCAAGACAGAATATACTAAATTTGAAATCTTAAAGTAATACAGCGGCCGTCCAAATCCTCTTATCACAAAAAAAACATGATTAAGCTTTTTTAGACACATTTTAACCTCATAAAAAGAAAACATTTAATTGACACAACATCACTATTTTCAACAAAACAACATTGCAAATGATATCAAACAGCGTTAAAAATGCTTTAAACCTTTATTTACAGAATCTACTTACAAATGCAGATTTATAACCAATGTTGGCTGACTGCCCATGTGTTAACTGGGATATACTGTATGTCGTTTAACAGATATCTGCATGGATCTGCAGCTAACAATCTGCTCTCAGAGGTCTTTTCTTTACACCAACTCCATTCTCGCCTCTCAAGTTGCCTGACTATGAGATCAAGATTAAGATTACCGTTATATGTCGTTAAAGACAACATTCAGCACCATTCATATTAAACATAAAACATTGAATATGGTCCAAATAAAAATAAAATACCATCGTAAAATAGCAGTGCAAAAACACATCCAGTGCCTTTCCTGCCATATTAACCGCTATTTGAAGGTTTTACAGACAGGGATGAATGAATTTCTAACAGTGCATATTAAGATGTTCACAAATTCACAAAGAAGTTAAAAAGGTCTGAGGCTTAGGGCACACTTAAAAAACAAAACCTTGGGCAGGTGTGTGGCTCGGGCATAGTAGTAGGAGTTGGTCTCGGTTGTAGAGCAGAAGCGCTGCCGGCATGATGTCACGGCCAGCAGCTGACATTGGATGACATGTTGCAAGCCGAATTTTTTTTGCCAAAAACCGTCCTCTCAATAAGAACAGCATCGCCTTGTAGGACGAGCATCGTGTCAGAGCCACGCCACCAAAGACAATAAACAAAGACAATACATGGGAAAGGAAGTCTTGGCCAGGAGTCCTTTAAAGGTAACTGCTGGATAAACCATAAACCCCCAAAACTGGCTACTGCTTCCAGGGGCTCTATAGTGAGATTCACCGTGGCCACTGGTGGACCTCCAAACCCAACACGTTCAACAAATTCAGCCCCTTGCATTGTTTTAACAGCACTCTGTTTTCAGTCTAAGCTTCTGTCAGTTCTGCTTCTGCTAACAGGGAACAAATGTCTGCATCCATGCAGACTCCAATAGTGCGAAATAAAACAGAAGGCAGAAACTTGGATATTGGATTAATCCCTTTAGGCTCTAAGAACATGTATACTGATGACATGCTTGACCTGTTTGACAGTCTACATACCTTTGGCCATGTTGTGTATTTCAAATTTTGTTGTTTTTTTAAGTTGTAGCATAGCCATTCCTCTCGCACCACCCTCTGGACATACTTTACAGTTTTTTTCCCACTAGTGGAAAAGATGTGAGAATATCAGACTTTTCTTTCAGTTGTTCTCAACCTCTGATTGTGTTCTCGGCTGTGTAATGAGCTTTACAGCCTTGTGGGACTGTAACAGAATTTATACTCTCATTTGATGTTGATAAAAGTTATTTTATGATTCTTAGAATTGTTGAAACTAC